CCACCACAACTTTAGCAACCACCACTGAAGCTGCCCCTATGACAACAGCCGCTGCCACCACAGCAACAGCAGCCGCCTCCACAACTGCAGCCGCCACTACAACAGTTGCTGCCACCACAACTGCAGCCACAACTGCAGCTGCCACTACGACAACAACCGCTACCACCACAACTGCAGCCACAACTGCAGCTGCCACTACGACAACAACCGCTACCACCACAACTGCAGCTGCCACTACGACAACTCCTGCCACCACAACTTTAGCCGCTACCACAACAGCAGCAACTGCAACCACAACCGCCACTACAGCATTCTTACTGGTTGGTAGGTGATCAAATACTTATGTCATGCAATAAAATGCAAATTAATTACTTAAAAATCATACAATGTGATTTTCTGGATTTTTGTTTTAGATTCCGTCTCTCACAGTTGAAGTGTACCTATGATAAAAATCACAGACCTCTACATGCTTTGTAAGTAGGAAAACCTGCAAAATCGGCAGTGTATCAAATACTTGTTCTCCCTACTGTATGTACAGTGCCTTGCAAAAGTATTAACCCCCCACCACAAAGAGAGGTTGAACAGGCTAGTAATAGGGGTTGCGACAATTTCGGCGGCTAGTTTTAGAAAGAAAGGGTCCAGATTGTCTAGCCCAGATGATTTGTAGGGGTCCAGATTTTGCAGCTCTTTCAGAACATCAGCTGTCTGAATTTGTGTGAAGGAGAAGCGGGGGGCGGCATGGGCAAGTTGCAGCGGAGGGTGCAGAGCTGGTGGCCGGGGTAGTGGTAGCCAGGTGGAAAGCATGGCCAGCCGTAGCAAAATGTTTGTTAAAATTCTCGATTATTGTAGATTTATCGGTGGTGATAGTGTTTCCTAGCCTCAGTGCAGTGGGCAGCTGGGAGGAGGTGCGCTTATTCTCCATGGACTTTACAGTGTCCCAAAACTTTTTGGAGTTAGTGCTACAGGATGCAAATTTCTGTTTGAAAAAGCTAGCCTTTGCTTTCCTAACTGCTTGTGTATATTGTATATTGTAGTCAATGACTACATTTCCTATTCATTTTGCTATATTTCCTATTCAAATTCATTTCATGTATGTTTTCATGGAAAACAAGGACATTTCTAAGTGACCCCAAACTTTTGAACGGTAGTGTATGTCTGTGTGTGTGTGTGTGTGTGTATATATATATATTTATTTATTTATTTTAAAGAGAAATGCCATGGTGGCCACGGTGTAACTTGGAAGTAGCCCAAAAACCCACAACCCGCGACCAATAGCTTATGCCTGCCCATACCATAACCTCACCGCCACGATGGAGCACTCTGTTCACAATGTTGACATCAGCAAACCGCTCGTCCACATGACGCCATACACGTTGTCTGCCATCTGCCCGGCACAGTTGAAACCGGGATTCATCCATGAAGAGCACACTTCTCCAGCACGCCAGTGGCCATCGAAGTTAAGCATTTGCCCACTGAAGTCGGTTATGACGCCGAACTGCAGTCAGGTCAAGACCCTGGTGATGACGACGAGCACACAGATGGGCTTCCCTGAGACGGTTTCTGACAGCTTTTGCAGAAATTATTCGGTTGTGCAAACCCACACTTTCATCAGCTGTCCGGGTGGCTGGTCTCAGACGATACCGCAGGTGAAGAAATAGGATGTGGAGGTCCTGGCTTGCGTGGTTACACGTGGTCTCGGGTTGTGAGGCCGGTTGGACATACTGCCAAATTCTCTAAAACGATGTTGGAGGCTGCTTATGGTAGAGACATGAACATTGAATTCTCCGGCAACAGCTCTGGTGGACATTCCTGCAGTCGGCATGCCAATTGCACACTCCCTCAAAACTTGAGACATCTGTGGCATTGTGTTGTTGCCTTTTATTGTTCCTAGCAAAAGGTGCACCTGTGTAATGATCGTGCTGTTTAATCAGCTTCTTGATATGCCACACCTGTCAGGAGAATGGATTATCTTGGCAAAGGAGAAATGCTCACCAAGAGGGATGTAAACAAATGTGTGCACAACATTTTAGAGAAATAAGCTTTTTGTGCATATGGAACATTTCTGGGATCTTTTATTTCAGTTCATGGAACATGGGACCAACACTTTACATGTTGCATATTTTTGTTCAGTGTAGTTAGCTCCAAAAGTGGTTAGTAGTATCTTTGACTGCATGACAGTACATTCAGAGCCATCCAGTGGCTAGCCACACTACAAACTTCATTGTACCAGGTTCCTGTGAAGCAATTGTAATGACAGTCCACGTCCACCACAACATAACCGATAGTCTCCTGATTAGCAATGGGCAGTCTGTGTTGAATTTTATTATGTATTAAAAACACAGTTTGAGATCGTTGTGAGGGGTTTTCCACAGTAGTTTTAATAGGGAATGGAGCTTCCCGGGAAAATGTTGTCTATGGTTGCAACAGTAACCAAGGGGGGCGGGGCTTAGTGAATGGTTGTCTCTCCTCGCCTCCTTCTCAAAACCCATTGGAGGAGAATGTCAGAGGGAAAGGGACCTCTGTCTTTCTCATCCAATGGGTTTTGAGAAGATGCGAGGAGTATGCAATTGAGATTCTCCCACAGTAGCTATAAGTTAAATCTATCTGCAATGTGATGTAAGTTGGTCGCAGCCAATGAAATTGGAGTGTGCCAATTCTATTAAAATAGTGCTCCAATTCCATTCAATATATTATTTTGTTTCAGCCTGGCCCTTTGCATGCATCAGAGATAATGGATTGTTTGGTTAGAAAACTAAATTGCATGGTCTATGTCAAACAGAACAAATAACCTATATTTAAATGTGTAAAATGGCTGCAGAAGAAACGTCTGCTCAAAGGAAAAATGAAAGGCAAGAAATGAGGACACAAGATGAATATGGTGTCTTACCAGTGCACAGACAACTTCATCAGGTAAGTCAGTTAGTGCTAGCTGTATGAATCAACTAGAAGCAAATGTTTTTTAGTTTTTTAAATAAAAACAGTCCTTAATTCAAATATGTAATAACGCAGTAGCGACTGTTTCTGTACTGAGTAGCCTATAGTTCTCATTCCTATGGTGTTAGTGTCTAGCTAACATGCACAGGTAGGGCCCTACCTGTGCAGAACACATGCCCATTTGCCCTTCCAGTCCCCAAAGTGCCCTTTTGGACGGTGGAATAATTTCCCCCCATTATTATTATTTTTGGTATAAATGTTTTGTCATTGTGGTTTGGAACCCGTCTGTTGGTTACGCCTGTTGTTCTGCCCTGTACAGAGCTCCTGCTTTGCAACTTTTTCCCAGTCTGCCCTGTACGGATAATGCAAGCACACGGTATCCAAACATGCATGGCTTGAGAGATGCGGTCAGTTGTCGAGTGTGTGTAGCTAGTTACCTAGTTTAAATATCAACGGTGAGAGGCACCCTGATCTCCTTTTGGTATCGGCAGCTACCAATCACCTGCCAGTCACCTGCCGCACCTGCTGGTCACCTGCCGCACCTGCCAGTCACCGCCGGTCATTTGCCGGTCACCTGTTGCACCTGTCATTCAACTGCCGGTCACCTGCCGCACCTGCCAGTCACCTGCCACACCTGCCAGTCACTTGCCACACCTGCCGGTCACCTGCCGCACCTGTCAGTCACCTGTCGATCACCTGCCGCACCTGTCAGTCACCTGTCGGTCACCTGCCAGTCACCTGCCAGTCACCTGCTGGACTTGCCGTTAAGTCCGGCCAGATAGATTTGGCCTGCCCGGCCTAGCAAATCAAGTGCACCTATAGGCCTACCGCTGGCCAATCAGATAGCTCAGATCACTGTGCTTGTACAATTTCCTCGCGCCATTGACTGTAAAAAGAAACCTTGAACGCACAGTAAAGTTGATACTGTGAGATTTGAGAACTTTTAAAACCATGACTAGAGAGAAAACGAATACAGCAAAGAGCTGATGTTTTTACGAGTAAGTTCATGTTTAAGTTGTTATTCAGCACTGTCAACACTTTGTTCAACATTTGTATAAGCCATAAAATGCATGTTCTCCCTACTTCCACTTACTACTGTACAACCAGCACTGCAGCTGCAATGAATGAGTATAGTAAAGTGTTCCGATAAGCTTGCGTTGTTACTATTAGCGGCTTGTGTCTTTTTTAATATTGAGGAATATTTTACTTTCTCTGGTCATAGGAGTAACAACATTAATTGGTGCATAAGGCAGAAATAATGTAATGCGACTTGAGTTTCACCATCAGCTGGAAGACTGTGTCCACATTTCTCAGTGGAGGAAGGGAGAGCAGAGGGACAGTGAGTCTGTTGAGAGGCAGCCTCACTGCTGCCCTCGCTCCCTCCCTCCCCTCAGACTGACCATCAGATGCAACAACATTGGCAGGGCAAATTGAATTATAGCCAATATGAAGTGATAATGCCTACTGCACAAACCTCATTGCTACATAACTGTTTTTAATTGGTTAATGTTTCATAGGTTTAATACGTTTTTTAAGTAATGTTTTAAAAAATGTCTGAGCGGTAGATCTCGGCTTGTTGGTGACCACTGTTCTAAAACGTCATTCAATTGTATGCACGTGACATCATTAGACATTTATAAAATGCATCATGTACAAATGCAGAACAACCAAAGAATATCTGATCATGGAAGAACGTCAACTCTTAAATTTCCACAAATGTTTTGCCACTGGGGCCACACATAAAACGAGTACAAAATGACTGGGATGCACTTCTAAATCATTAAAGGCATTAAATTAGAATCTGCTAATCCTCATTTTGTTGGAAAAAAAAGTTTTCAATGTAATGTAAGACTATGTAAATGTACCACAGTAATAGCGCTCCAATTGTTTAGAATAGGTTTATTTTAATTAAAACAATGAGAATAATAACTATAACTATAATGAGAATCAACTTAGGTTAACACATACTGATTAAATAGGTTGCCATTATATATGATGGGAGGGGGGGCATGGGGTAAATACATTTTCAAAGTAAATATATTTCATACTGCTGCTTGCTGCTGAGACTAGCTTGACAGCAGCAGCGACAAAACCACCAGACAGGAAGCAGTGAAGATACTGGTCTTGCTGCTTATTCCACTTGAGGTCACAACTGCATAGATAAAGAGAGAAAAAGTGAACATGAAAGGGACATTAGTATTTGCCAACCTGTTAAGTGATTATTGTGAATAAGGCCTGTACATATTTACTGTTACCGCTACAATAACCTTGTTTTCCGCCATGTAGAACCTCTAGATAATGGCATACAAAATATGAATTTACCATAAAGCATGGACAATATTTTTTTACCTGAGGTGGTGTTGATGTCGAAAGCTGTGATGTTTTGTGCAGCATTTATCAAAACGGTGACAATTTCCGTGGAATTTGGGACAAGGGAGGAGCTAAATGCTAAATCCATGGCATTAATGATTGATCCATTTCTGCGAACAAATGAGAGATTTTTTTTATGACAGTTGAGCCCTTGTAATGCAGAACTACAGTATATTTTCATATAATGAAATATTTCTTTATTTTAAAAAGGAATTATATGAGGTATACTTTTTTGATCAATTATTTTTTCCTTCATTTTGTATAATGATGTAGCATGTTTATGTACATTTTCATGAAATCCGTATACGGTTCTTTGTCTGTAGGATTCAATTCATTAAAATCAACATGATCAATTGAATGCAAACAAATCACCTGAATTCTGTTACTGTCAAACTGTTGAAAGAGGCGAAAGCTGATCGATAGAAAGGTTCAAGCTGGAAAGCAAATAACATGTGAAGTTTATACAAAGAAGTTTCAAGTTTTATTAGTTGTACAGGATACACATGGTATACACCGTCCAACGAAATGCGTACTTGCAGGTTCCTTCTCAACAATGTAACAACAATAAGAAATAATAAAAGATAAGAATACGAGCATAAAGTAAATGGCTCTGTAGAGTATAATATTAGCATAAGTATAATACAGGAAGGCACAATTTATTGTCCAATATTTACACGTGTTTTGGGGAAGGGGGGATTGGGGGGCAAGTCTTTAAATTGTGCAGTATTTAGCAATCATAATAAGAGTCAACAGAAAGGTGACTGTTTATTACTGTATTCTACCCCTCTCATCAGGACATTCTCACATTTGTGTTCTTCTCATTCATTCAGGAGGCTCACCTGTGTTTTAATTAGTGATGCTCGAGCTTGAAAGGCCTGAGAGGATGACTTTGATAGGTCAGAGGTAAATGTCTCTCTTTTGGACGTGAACTCCACAGGCACTATAGTGAGTGTAATTGTGGCCACAGCGGTTGTGGTGGTAGCAGCAGTTGTGGTGGTTGGAGCAGCTGTGACAACGGTTGTGATGACAGGAGTTGTAATTGTTGTGGCACCTGTGGATGTATTTGGGACCCCTGTGAACACAAAATGAAAGAAATGCAAACTTTGTGTAAGATCTGAGAGTTTGTCTTTTAGGACTGTCAAATTTGAATTAGACATTTTAATGACATTTGAATATCAAAACTTTTTTAGCAGCATTTGAAGGAAAAATGTACTGTCTCTCCAGGATTGTCTCTTATTAGGTGCAATATACTTGCCACTCAAATTAGAATATTATCCTAAATGCAATCATGTGTTTAATGAACGCAACAGATCACAATGTTTAATGTATATTATATGAAACAACAGGTTCTTGAGAAGAAAACCCTTCACCAGGCATTTATAGTGTTGCTTTTCAGTGTATTTAAAAAATAAATAAATAATTAAACCAACAGTTTGACAGATACTTCTGAAAGTTCTATCTAGCAACAATTGAATTTGACGTAAGCCGAGGAACCGGTCAAGCTATGCAAGCATATTACTACAGCAGAGGCCATAGGAATAACCAGGGAAAGGATGCATATCTTGATTAAATTGATATACCATTGCCATAGGCCTACCGGAATTAAGATACACCTGCCTATTTATTCATTCGAGTTGCTAGCTAGCATATTCATACACATCAATGGACAATTTTGGTAAACCCATTGTATAGGTTTACTTACTATTAACAGTGATGGAGTCCGGATACACAGAGATATTGAAGTTGGAGTTTGGATTGGTCACAGCCACTTTCAGTGTATTTTCAATGTCTTTACTCATCCTAGATTCAGCAGAGATCTCTTGGAAAACCATTAACATCTCCACCTGTATGTCTGCTGGCATAAGGGAACGTCGGGACACAGGTCTACAAAGGGCACAAAGTTCAGAGGTCAAATTAAAAGGTGACTGAAAAGTGGTTAGTCAGGCAATGTGTAGGGTAAGGTCATATTACACTACCACCACAATGGCAGCAACATAAATATATAATAATGAAAGGAATGTTGGTTGATGGAGCTGTATAAAGGTAATATAATGTTTAAAATAAGGTTTATTGACAGGATATTACTGACATTAAATTATAGGATTTATGGGGGTAGAATAGTATAGCATAAAATATTACATGAATGCAATGACAATCGTTCGGACGAAAATGATCCCATACTTTGCTTGATAGATCTCATCACACTGTTTGAGAAAGGATGAGACAACATTAATGGACAATGTAATAGTATAAACAATGTTCTACACACAAAAACATACCACTTCTGTATTATATATTTATGTAATTTTATAAACAGTAAGCTTGATATTAGGGAAATAAGTAACTCTTTCCCAGTACTTTGACCATATTCTCAGTAACAATATGAAAAAATAAATACAGTGAATATATGATCACATGACTTACCACAGAAGTAATGGTTAGTGCAAGTGTTTGAAATTCTGTGCTTTCAGAGTTGGTCAAAGCTGGTACAAAAAGAACTTCAATTATGAGTTTTAATGTAAACATGGCATGATGTGCAGTTGTTTTGGTTGTTATTGGCGTTGTTGTTGTAGTAGTTGGTGTTAAGGTAGTGGTTGTGCTGGTAGTTGTCATGGTCACTGCAGTGCTTGAAACTGTAGTTGTGGAAGCCACGGATGTTGTTGTAGTTGCAGGCCATACAGGAACAGTAGCAGGTTCTCCAGTTGGTTTTGTGATGGTAGTGCCAGCTACAGTAGTTATAATAGGAACAGTAGATGTAGGACCACCTAAAAAAAATTATATATATCTTATTATTAATCCTTAAGAGTCTATTGACACAGCCGTGCGTCAATCTAAGGAACATCATAAAATAATCCCCATCAAAATCTGTCAGTTTAAGCTAGAGATATATGCCAATCCACCGCATCCGTTTATGTCAGCCTTCCTCATCTGCGGTGGAAGGTGGCCGAGCTACAGCCGTGTTTGTCAGACCATGAGACATCCCGAAAATTGGTCTTCTCATGGAAACGCCGAACGGTTTGGCCCACGGGACTCGTCTGAAGTCCGTAACGCTGATGTGCCAACTTCTGTCTGTAGTGTCCGAACCGTTTGGGCTACATAATATGAGTATTTGACCCCACTGTGGAAAGGGGAGACTCTCACAAACACGATGTACTCTGTTTTGCTATACGACCCCCACAAGTGTCACAGGACTCGTCTGAAGGTAACCCATACAAATGAATGGAAGTATGGAGATAGTTTTGTGACCCAAAAAATAAGCGCTTAAATATGTGTCCATTTTAATTTTTTACAAATTCCTGAGCTTTCGTATAGCTCCTAGATATAGGACAGACACTTCAAAATTGTTCCACAATTGTATTGCGAATGTGCGTATCACTGCATATTTTGACATTTAACTATTTATGTAAATTCGATTTGTATATATATATATATAGCCCTTTTGTCACAGATCTATTGTCTTTGTACTTGTATCAATGGTTAGATGACATGAAAATAGAGCTCTTTGGCCACGTACACCAATGGTGGCTTTGGCCTTCAAAAGAAAAATGCATATGCAGAAAATACCTCATCCCTACTGTATAATCTGGTGGTGGATCTTTGATGTTATGGGGCTATTTTGCTTCCACTGGTCCTGGGACCCTTTTTAAGGTGAATGGCATCATGAACTTTACGAGGACATTTTAGCGAAAAACCTGGTTGCCTATGCCAGAAGGCTTAAACTTAGCGACAAGTGAATCTTTCAGCAAAACAATAACTCCAAACACAAATCAAAATACAAAAATAAATGATTAATTGACCACAAAATCTATATTTTTCAATGGCCGTCTCAGTCTCCGTACTTGAACCCCATTGAAAACCTATGGTTTGAATTAAAGAAGGCAGTCCATAAGCGCAGACCGAAGGATACTAGGATCTGGAAAGATTCTGAATGGAGGAATGGTCTAAGATCCCTCCCAATGTGTTCTCCAATCTCATAAACCATTTTAGAGGGTGCTGGCGTATTGAAAACAGGGGATCCAATAATTTTGACACCTATCTTTTTTTTATTACTTGCTCTTTCTCTGAGCAATTGTAATAAATATATAAATAAAATATAATTTGTAAAAATAAAAATAAATCATACAATACAGCTCAGTATTTGTAGAATTTATTTTATACAGTCTTTTTTGCTCATCTTTATCAAGGGATCCAATAATTCTGGACCCCACTGTATGTCAATGGATAATTCTAGTGAATTATTTTGATAGGTTTACTTACTGATAACAGTGATGGAGTTTGGAACCACAGAGAGGTTGAAGGTAGAGTTTGGATTGGTCACAGCCTCTTTCAGTGTATTTTGAATGTCACTATCCTTGGGGATAGTTGTATTAGCGATAGTTGCAATGGAGGTCTCATTGAACACCACTTCCAGCTCCACCTGTGTGTCTGCTGCCATACGAGAACGGAACACTGGTCTGCAAAGGGCACAAAGTTCAGATGTCAGGGTCAAATCAAAAGCTGACTGAAAAGTGGCCAGTCATGCATGCAGCCTGCACCTAAGGTTATAACACTACCATTTCAATGGAATCAACATTAAATATATAATGATGACAGGAATGTTGATTGAGCAAGCTTTTTAAAAGCAACAGAATGCTTAAAATATTATTTTGATGAATATTTTTCAAGATATTGTGTAAATTGAAACAAGCTACTTTAGAGGTAGAATAGAAAAGCATAGAATATTACATGAATGCAATGACAATCGTCCGGATGAAAAAAATCCCATATTTTGCTCGGTAGATCACGTCACACTGTTTGAGAAAAGAACAGACAACATTCATGGACTATAGAATAGTATGAATAATGTTCTACATACAAAAACATAATATTTCTGTATTTTATTTTTCTGTCACTTTATTTATGCTTGATATGAGGGAAATAAGTAAATCTATCCCAGTACTTTGAACATATTCTCAGTAACAATCCAAACAAAGAAATACAGCAAATATATGATCACAGGACTTACCATTGAAGTGATGGTTATTGCAAGTGTTTGAAATTCTGTGCTTTGAGGATTACTCAAAGCTGGTACAAAAACTTCTTGTATGG